ACTTCAAAACGAAGTAAATAGAACTATAACGTCACCATTGTTAAAGAGCTCAATTAATTATACTTTTTTATCTAACGTCTTGGTTGATATGAAAACGTCAGTGTCACGAGGGGCATTCGAACCCAAGACCTTCGGCTAGGTTTCATCTCAACCAAGGCATTGGATAAAAAAAGTATAATTAATTGAAATAATAAATAGAGCCAATTTATGACTGCTAAACATATATGAAGTAATATAATTATTAAAAACTGGGTACGTCTTTTCTCCCTTTTTACCTTCCCAAACCTATTGGCATAAAAACGATAAGTTTCATATAACAATTTTGTTTTTTATAAATAAATTAATTTGGTAATAACAGCTAAACAAAAAATTACGTTATTAATATTGTATATACTGCAATATTACTTATTATAGTATTGTAAATACCAACAGCCTAGTTGGTAATTAATGACTCGAGCAATCGATACACAAAATACAATTCCTTTGTCTGCCCATCCCATTGAAACAGGTACGTACAAGGGAAATTGTTACAATAACAACCGTGTGTAACAATATGACGTTTGACTGTTCATTGAAGTTTATTTGTAAATATTTAAAAGTATATAACCATTTTTGTAAAAAACTGGTAATGTTGTAAAATAAATAATCTAATAACAACTAACTGACTCATGAATTTGTGTATTTATCATCATTAAATAGTAGTAAAGAATGGAAAATTGATATAATAAACTTTTTTTAAATAATTAACATACAAGTAGAAGCAAACGACTGAAACGTAATATTTTCAAAATATTTACACGTAATTGCCAATTACTGTCATTTTAGTACATACACTTGTTGAAAGCATGATCCGAAAATTAATTTCCCTAAACAATTAGTACTAATTTATAACTATCTAAATACGTTCTGTCAAGATTAAAACTTTACAATCGTAAAATAATTGGTTGGCTTATTATTTCCGTAAAAAAAATGTATATGCAAGTGTACAGCCAACGTTCATCGTAGTAAAAAATCATCTGTATTAGAAAAAAAATTTCTACATATATTTGTTGGTAATTTTTAATTTAGTGAAACAATCGTCATTTTATATAGTTTTGTTAGCTAATTTTCGGGTAATTAATTGTTAAAATAAATTCACTAGTTTTCGTGGTACGCTTGACCAATTAATATCATTCAATTAATTAAGGTTTTTAGTTGAGATAAAAAAGTCAGTATCACGAGCGGGATTCGAACCCACGACCTTCGGCTTGATACACCGCTACTCTTCCTCTTGAGCTATCGTGACTTCGATCCACTCAGGCACTAACCTCCCATCTCAACCCCACTTTTTTTAAATTTTCCCTCCTTTTTGCCTAAATTTTAATGTTAAGGGTTGTTCAATCGGAACTAAAAAAGTTTTGTGTTTCCATTCTCATCTGGAAATTAGTACCGATTAATAAAAGCATATATTATTCATTGTACATTATATTTAGCTTAAATTCTTATAATACGTGATGTTTGTTTGAAACTTTTGTATTATTTAATCACATTAAAAAATATGTATCGGAATTTCACATAAATACTAAATTAAAAGAGGATGTGATCCTCATAGGATCGGACAGCGAAGAAGCCGTGAAAGCATTAACATGTAAAAAGGACATATCAAAAATCTGGGAAAACCTGGGATTGTGAATAATGTAGAACCAAAGAAACTGGCCAGAGGAGAATCTCCAGGATTGTATAGGCTCATACCTATACTTGGATGATAACAACACATCAGCTCCATCTCAGAATGGAATTACTCCAGAGGTTCCAGACACATGATTAAAATATCATTGCCAAAACTGTCAAACACATGGTACAGTTGGACAGGGTAAAACTAAGGGAAGTGATTGACTACCGGTCACTAAAGGTACAAAAATTCCTCAAAAGATCACAGCTAAGTAGGTCTAAAGTGATTAGCACGTTAAAAGGTAACATCTCAAATCTCCAAAACCTGGGTAAATATAACCTGACAATACCTTGGGTGTCAGGGCACAAAGTAATTTCGGGCAAATAAGCTGATACTGGCCAGAGGATGATCTGCTAAACCTTAGAATAACAAGATCCAAAAATGACACCACCATTTTAGAATGTGTCCATGAAAAACAAAAGTAAACAAACTCCAGAAGTATCAGACAAAGTAAACTTAAACTTGATACCAAAAAAAACCTTACCAACTGGGAAATACAGTGTTACAATTAGACAGGATAAATCTCAGGGGCGTAGGGCTACTGGGCACTTCTGATAACTACACAATTCAAGATGACCAGATTTGAAAGTTATGCATTGAAGAGGAAGAAACTGCCACCCATATCTTCGAATATGAACCAACTGTTCAATAGAGATATAATCTTTAGTACTAAGAAGATTCGGAAAAACTACCTCGCCAATGACAATCAATGACTTAATGCGAACACAGGAAAAGTACGGCCAAAGGCTACAGTGATTGGAGAATGTGAAAGCCCCGCAACCTCGTCTGATCATCATCAACAACATACCTTTGTTTAATATGTTTATTAGGGAATGTTTCAGCGATTCATTCAGCGGTTTGATGTTTGGCGGTGTGTAATCCCTTCTCCATTTGTGTTTATTTGAAATCCAACAGCCACTCTTTCTTCCTTAAGCCTTTACGTACATGCATACCTAAGTATTTATATGTTTAATTTATATGTTTTAACATTTATATAAAATTTTCCTCATGCAAACTTCCATCCGCACCTGTTTGAGGTTTATGGGGGCCCGGGCGTTGCGAAAGGCCCGTCACTCTCCGGGCCTCGCGCCTTCTGTCGTAACTTGGTCAAGGTGGCACACACTAGGCCCCACCACACAAAAAATAAAATGAGTGAGAGAGTAAAAAACGCTTACTGGATTTAGAAGGAAAAAAAAGTAATTGCAACTGTAGAGAACGAGTCTGCGATGGCCAGCAGTCATGTTGTCTCTTAACAAGCATAGAGAAATTTGAGAACTTTTGTCAAACGTTTGCTGAATTACTTACCAATAAACAATATGAAAGCTTCATAAATCGTGCATTTTAGCTTTCTTCATTCTTGGCCCCCTTGTCCTCATTAGTTACCATATTTTTTCTCATTTCTTATAATCAAGTAACTTCATGTAAATCTTCTATATTGGAAGGATTTCAATTACATCGACAACAATGTACGTGATAAGACAGCAAACAACTTGTAGTTTGATCGGCTTCGATCATCTTGGTCCACCTACTCTCGCTGATTTGGTCTGTCAGACGCATTTCGGCAATGAAAAGATTGATGGGAAAAATCGCGTTCAAACTCATCAACCGGGTTCTCTTTCCAGCGAGAATAGACCGACCTACATGATGAAAGAACTAAAAATTCTTAGCAGGGTTTAACAGCGACAGAAAAATCGACTGACAATTTTTTACATTTAACTACTACATCTCCTGTTCTACTATGCACGATTAAAACTTGCACATTTCTATTTGAAACATTTTACACAATACTCATCTCAATTTTTGTCCAAAACGCTTTATATGCGACAGACCCCTTTGAAACTATCTGAATACGTAACTTTTCTTCCGTTCTGAACAGTTTTACTCCGTTCCATGATTGATTTTCTTTCTTTTCGATTACTTCAAATCCATTCCTACTTCTTTTCAATAAACAACATGAAAAAAACGTTTATTCGGTCCGTCTAGTCTCGCAGTTAATAGTAATCAGAGATCCATTATTCAGGCAATTTATTTTAAATATATTTTTTTAAACTTTTGAATTACATTAGTTTCTACTCCAACAGTCTAGTGATCAATTTGATGATGATTAATCAGATTTGGTCCTCCGGGCCGGATTAGCAAATTCAAAACGGAACATTAGGGTATTAAAAGAATCCAGCCTATTATTTATTTCCATCATTTCTCTTTCTATTGTTTACGTTTTTGTACGTTTTCTCATATTGTTCGGTCAGTTATTTTTTTCTCTTAATTTTCGCCGATAGGCTTCGTTAAATTTAACCCCGATCGCGACGCCGTTTTTTCAGAATCTCCCCGACGGTATTTCGGTTTGATATATTTACATTTCGGCCGAGGCGGAAACTGACGTGTTTGTGACCGGGCTTCTTGGCAGTCGCTATCTGGGCCAGGGGTCTTGTACAACTGCGAACGCCCTTTGTGCAGCCTCGGGAAACAGCGATGCCATTAATCTCCCCGGAGAGTGGGTTAGAGTAAAATATCCTCCTATCATCCGGGCAAAAAAGAAAAAAGCACCAGGCGGTTGCGAAAAGATTAAATTCTTAAAGTTAGACCGGGGACGTAAATTCTCCATCTTGAGAAAACTTTGGCTAATTTTTATTGCTTCCTTCAAAATTTACATCCTCTTAGACCTATAACGTTCGACTAAAAACTAAAAAAGAGTACCAATTTCTAAAAACTATTAAAAATAATAAACGTATTGGCGTAATTCAGCTTCCATCTAAAAGAATTAATTGCCTTGACTTGCAAATCTGCCCGGAGGACCAAGAAATCAAACCAATCTGACCGATACTTTTACCGATTGAATATTAAGCGCAGAATTATCCAACTAACTCATATAAACTACAATAATTAACCTTTAATCTCATTTATGTTCAAGTTTGTAAATGCTGATAAATTGTGGTTTTAAACTTTGAAAGAAAAAAATCTGTAGATTAAAACGAACGATTTTGTTCTTCCATTTTTTGTCATTTGGTTAGAAATTTAAATTTTTTAGTTTCATATGGGGGATGAGATTCAAATGTTTTTCCTGTTTTGGCTGATTTGTCAATCCTGTCCGGAGGACCAAATAAAATTGCTCGGGCGAATATTGCAAATGTTATAAATCAAATTAATTGTTCATTGTAATCTTGGTAAAATTGTACTGTTCAGACAATTTGTAATATTTAATTAATAAATAAATAAGAAAGAAAGTCTATTTATTAAATAATTATTGAAAGCTAAAAAATCCAGTTAAATTTATTTTTCCATGTTCCAGGTATGGGAAATTGCAGATTCAAAATCCCCCAGAAGCCAGGTAGAAACTCATTTCAACTTCTAAGCATGCTCAGTAGTTTCTAAGAGAGTAAATCTTTAAGTTTGCAGGAATGCATTTCGTAGGACGGAAGGGCCATCTGTGCGGGATGACCGGCCCATTAATAACCTGCGAAAAGCGGGAGGATGTGAAAAGGGCCATCTGCACCACCTTCCGCCTTTTAAGGGCCCTTTCGGGGGCCGGTCAAGGGATCGTTATTTCCCCCGGGGTGACACGGAAGGACAGCATCCCCGGATTAGGGGTGACGAGCATTTCCTTATTAATCTTTCGAGGGTGACCCGAAGTGGAAAAAGCCCTTGAGCTCGAATTAGTGTCCCAGGTCCTATTATCGTTCAAATTCAATACTTTTACGGTCATTCCACAAACAGTAAACCTATGAGAAATGAGGTGAATGGAAAATTTCACACCATGACACAACGATTTCTGATTTTTTCTTAAACAAGTGTTTATTTGTTTTATCTCGTCGCTCCCTCGACAGTCGAAAAGAAAAACATTTCAATTCAGAAAAAAAGAGTGGTTGTCTATCAGTATTTACAAACCATTTACAGTACTTACTCCTGGATTTTTTAAACCCTAACCTCATGTTTCTAGGAATTAGTGCAGTTTAAATCAAAAATACTACAATTATCTTATTTAAATTACTTACAATTGTAACTATTAAGAAAAAAACGAACCGTTCTTACCCACAACATTGGTCCAACTCGTCAAGCAAAAGTAGTAAACTGTTAATCAGCAAGAAAAAAATTTAAGTTTATAATTGTTCCATTGAGATAGTCGTACAGATAACATCGTGGAATTTTGCTCCCTGTTAAACCTGCTAGTTTATGTAGTTTAAGTTCGAGTCTCAACCCGTTCTTCACTACCTCAATCAAGTAGGACCGTTCTCTTATCTTCTACTTCTTCTCCGCCGATTGTTTTCTCTTATTAATTGTGTAAAAGAGAACGCAATTGGAGGGGAAANTAAAAAAAAAAAAAAAAAAAAAAAAGTTTATAATTGCTTCAATCTCCCCAAAGAAAAAAATACCAACTGTTAATTAATAAATGAAAAAAATAAAATGTCTTCTCTTGTTTCGACAACAAAAAAAAGGGAGCCTCTAAATCGCAAGAGAGAAAAAAGGATCTCCTAAATCCACAATTGGTCCAGTTTCCCTGACAAAAAATACAAAAAAATAGTTTTTAGTATTTATTTGGAGATCGTGAAATGCGGTCTGGCATCTCACGATCTTCAAATAATCATTAACTAACGGTCACTATACACCGCACACTAGTTTTTATTTAAAAAAAAAAAAAAAAAAAAAACAGCAAATATCTCTTGAGTCTATAATTGGTCTAGTTTCCTGACAAGAAAAATTGTACAAAAAAATACTACGAACTCACAACTGACCTAGCTTCCTCAACAAACAATACTAAAAATCGTTAATTAGAAATAAAAAAATATTTCTGGAGCCTATACTTGGTCCAGTTTTCCTGACAAAATTTTTTTTTTTATAAAAATACTTCGAAGTCAACAATCGATCCAGTTTCCCCAACAAAAAATACTACAAACTGTTATATAATTAAAAAAACAAATCTTTTGGATCCTCAATTGGTCCGTTTTCTAACAAAAGTAACTACTAATAACCTAATTAGCACGAAAATTATCTTCTGTGACCGTATGTCTCATTTTACCAATGAAAAAGTACTAACACCTGGCAATTAGAAATGAACAGAAGAAGTAGTAGAACAGAAGAAAATATTGGTCTAATTCACTCAACAAAACGCACAAAACGGTTTCATTTTAGCATGTAACTATAAAAAACACCACTCAACATGACAAAAAAACTGTGTCCATCATTGTTTAATTATTCCAAACTAGGAATGAAAATAAATACAAACTTGTACAACAAAATAAAAACAAACAAATTAGTAAGTGAAAATTTTTTTCTTGATTCTACAACAACAGTATTGTACAATGTTATATTGAACATTGTTATTCGCAAAAGAGAAAAAAATGAGTGTCCGTGACCAAAAATACTAAAAACTGTTAATTAGTAAGAAAAAGTAAATATCTCCTGAGTTCGGGTTTCCCCGAAAAAATACAACAAACTATTAATTAGCAAGAAAATAAATCTTGGGTGTACAATTGGTCCAGTTTTTCGACAAAAATGAAAACTGTTAATTCGGTTTAATAAAAAAAGAAGAAAAATATGCCCTAAGCCCACAATTCGTCCAGGTTCACCTATAAAAAAGATTACTACAGACTGTTAATTAGTTAGAAACAATGAAAATATTTATCTCCTGGATCTTCAAATGGTCCATTTTCCTAATAAAAATACTAAAAACTGTTAATTAGTGAGAAACAAAGAAAATATTTATCTCCTGGATCATCAAATGGTCCATTTTTCCTAATAAAAAATACTACAAACTGTTAATTGTTAGAAAGAAAGAAAATATGTATATCCTTGATCCTTAATTCGTCCGTTTTTTTCTTTTTAGTTAAGAACTACCTGCTCATTACTAAGTGCAAACGAAAATATTACCTTCTGAATCCAATTTGGTACGTTTTGCGTAAAACAAAAAATACTAAAAATTGGAAATTAATTTTTCAGATTTTAAAATATAAATTTCATTTATTTAATTAAGTCCTTGTTCGAACGTGGGATGTTTAATTTTGGAACTCGAAATAATTGCGTCGTAATAAACCGTGACAGTATAAAATTGTAATCTGATGTGCTCAGGTTAGAATAATATGATTAAAAGGTCATTGAAATTCTCGATCTTCTGTGTCGGTCTTTCTCGGCGTCCTTGAACTCTAAAAGCAAGGCGCTAAATTTTGTTTTTTCTCCGAGTTTCTAAAAAGTTTCCTCGCCGTGGAAGTTCCCCAGGTGGGCGATTAAAGTAGAACAAGGGATGAAGCCTTATTCAAGGAAATCTTGTTTCGTCGGAGCCGTTTACACACCCTTGTATAATCGGATAGGGCAGACCTAATTCCGGAGGGGCTTTACGACCCCCTCAATTTTTTTCATCCCTCAGCTCGAGGACTCTCTCGACTCCGACCTGTCAAAACTTTCTTCGCTTCGGTTAACACCGAAGTGCCTGCATCAACTTGACTCCTTCCCGGCCGATCCTATTATGCCACCGGCGTTTATGATACCCACTATTTCTGAGCCCTCCAACAAAGCAAAAAGTATGAATCCTATGAATCATATGAGAAATGGCCCGAATAATAAAGAAAGTGCGTTTAGCTTTCTTGAAAAGAAATGTTCCCTAGGCCTGTTTTCACATGATTTCATTACATCTTTCACTTTGAACAATTAGCTATTCAATAGACAAATTAGACCGTAGTCGATTGAAAGCACCCTTGTTTTCAAGTTAACCATTGGACTTAGTTTCGATTCCCGACTTGACGAAATCCACTGGTAAACCGAAACTAGTCGTGGGCCGAAACCGGTCGGAAGATCCGCAGATAATCTTCGTAGACGGGAAGAGTAAAAGTGCTTCGACTGGTTTTTTTACATGCCAAACTGCCTAAGACCGATGGGAAAGTGATTCATCGGCGTATTTCCTTCAACACGCCAACTGGACTGTTCGTTTCGTGCCGGGCCATCCCGTGATATGCGGACATTTTCACCCATCCCAGAAAGGGAAATATCATCTATGAGAAGAGAATAGCTAATATTTGAACGTGAAAAAACGACCAAGTAGTAGTTAGAGACTGCCTGATATGGCCTACTCTTAGGGGTGCACCAACTTGGTTTAAACTCAATTCAGTACTGAACCGAGTTCAACACAAAAATTGTCATTTTTAAATTTGTCTTGAATCGTGTTCAAACGATGATCGTGGTTCAAATCTGAACGGCCGTGGGTTAAACGGAGATCAGAACGACGTCCATTTCATAATAATATAACCTATAGGTAAAGGCGGGCTCATTCAACTTTCGATGTTTTAGTTTACAAGTTAAAAGTGATTAAGTTTACAAAAAAATGTATTCAGTTTTCACTTAAAAACCACTGTTCTTCTTAGACAATGTTCTAATTGGCTTAATTTTGTTATTCTAATCAGGAATAGTCAGTCCGGCAATTTGTATTTCCTTTGCGCTAGAACTCAACGCATTTTATCTCCCATGTCTATTTATACTCATCAAGTCCTGTCATTCATTTTTTGCCCAAGACCTTAATTTTGCAAAAATGGATCGGATAATTTCTATTTCTTGGACACTATAACTAAAGCATTTTCCCATCGCCCATCTGTATTTCTTATATGTATATAGGTAGTTAAGTCCAAAGGAATGCTTATGTTAAAATTATCTAAGTTTAAACAAACTTTTTCATTACTTGCTGCATTACTACTATCATTGATGCGAACAACTTTCGTGTCATAGACGGTAGCATTGCCTGGTAATCCGAGGCAAAAGGTAAACGTCTTAATTTTGCAGTAATAAAACAGGCAAAGTTAATAATACGATAAAATTCTAATAATTTTAACATCAACTTCAAATACAATTGAGGCTTATTTGTTCTTTTTAAACTATTTTACAAACAAAAAACTAAAAAACTAGTTGAAATAAATCTGAACAACAAATTGAAATCAAAAGTACGTGCCTTAACAGAAATCAGTTCGTTAATAAATGAAATTTCATTTAGATAATAGATGGTTACAAAGGTAACCCAAGGAATGATTTTTACAAATAAATGATTATTCAGAAATCGTGAGATGCGGTCTGGTGTGATGTAGGTTTCGGAAAAACATTTTTCTTATCGTGCCAACGTTTCGTTCTTTAAGAAACGTGTTTGTTTTCTGCGTACACTCGTACTTCTCAAACACTTTGAGTGAGTAGAAATACTTTGATTGAACATAAAAAATTCACTTTTTTCCACATCCTACATGTATTTGTTAAATTTAAACAATGTTTGTAAATCCCAGGCCCTGAAGATGATCTCAATAAAGATGGAAACGTTAGCACGATAAGGAAAATGTGTTTCTGAAACCTACATCACACCAG